GCTGAATCTCAGCAGCCCCCAGCCTGAGTCAGCAGAATCCTGGCCAACCCGTCTGTGCATGAATAATAAAGATACACTTCCAGGTCTGTGCTATTGAGATTTTGTGTGTCAAGTAGCGCAGCATAGCATTATGTTAAGACACAATGATCTATGCACCTTGTTTACAAGGTTTATCTCCCTCACTACTCCATGAGCTTCTTAAAAGTAATGACCATGTTTTATAGAATTCTACATTTCTTCAGCTTAGTTCTTGCATATCATAACCTCAAAATGTTTGATGGGTGAATACTGAATCAGTGAATGACATACAAGAGTGTCTGAGTGGAATGTAAAAAGCATGGTTACTATGGCAACCCAGGTAAACAATTTAGAGAAAAACACTGGAATACTGTGGAGCATTGGTTCTGGAGGAAGGTATACACATTCTTAGGCTAACAGTAAAAATCTGTACCAGTTCTAGTCCTTTCATAAACAGGGACACCAGTTCCTAGATAAAATCAAACCTTCAGATCTGACTCTGCATTAACCGTATGGCAAAGTGTGAGGTTACTATTCCATTTTGTTCCAAATGGTGATCTCTTGCATCAACAGCAAACTGGACTACCCTCGGAGTCCACTTCTAACAGCAACTGCAGGTATTCCCTACAGGTGAGTTCCTTCTTGGTTATGATGCTTACTTCTGCTATTACTGATTGACATGTGATATTTGTTTTCTAAAATTGCTATTATGTAGAGTGAATCCTTTATAAAGGACCATTATTGTAACACTGTACATTCTAACGTCAGTGTAGGCTATCTTAAATATTACAGAAAGATGTGAAGATTCTAGAAGTTGTAAGAATTTAAAGTTAAGAGGCATCTGGGTGGCTCAGTCAGTTAAGTACCTGTTTTTGGCTCAGGTCATGTTCTTGGGATCCTGGGATCAAGCCTCCTGTCAGGCTCCCTGCTTAGTGGGGAGTCTGCTTCTTTCCTGTCCCTCCCCTCATGCTCAAGCTCTCTCTCTATCTCTCTCTCAAATAGATAAATAAAATCTTTTAAAAAAAGAATTTAAAGTTCAATTTGACCTAATATGCACTTTATTGTGGCAGTGTTATTTAAAGTCTAAGAATAAGTTTGTGTGTGTGTGTGTGCACTTGTGTGTGTTTACTTTCCCCTAAACCATGTGGGTTCTGGGTCAATACGAAAGCAGCTGACAGCTCTAGATAAAGATGATTATAGCGAAGAATTTAATCGATAACCACTTTTATCTCAGCAACACACATTACACCTTTAAAAATTATTTGCACAAATGTTTATTTCTTAGCTAGTCTCAGAGTAAATAAGACCAAGTGGCGTGAAGAGCCAGAAAAATATTAGAGGAGAAGAAGCAATTCTGAATGTCAAAAAAAAAAAAATGCTGTGGTCAAGTGTGAGTAGTGAGTCCTTCCTTGATGATAGGATACCACAAGATTACCACAAGCCACAATGATGTAATTTCTGACATCAGTTCTGCTGGCAAACCTATCTTATCTCTTAAGAGAAATTTCAGATTAAATCCAAGAACATCATGGATAAAATAGTAACATAATGTTTCTGATGAAGAATATATTATATAATTTAATATTAAAATGCCTTAAGGAAAAAAACTGAATCTGTAATGACAAATCTTTCAAATCTGTACATATTAATGACTTCAAACATGTATTTGGAAGTGAAGGATTCTGTTTAGGAAGTGTTATGCCTGAAGAATCTGGAATAGTGATCGAAAGACAAGAAAAGACACCTTTAAAGGACAATATTATTTTGAAAGACTTTAATTAGCTAGCCACAACAATAAATACTTTCCCACCCCATAGTAAAATGAACAGGAGTACTGTCTTTAGGAATAGATGAGTCCCTAAAGCAATCATAGGGCCCCCAGAGCTCAGACTGAAGTTGGCCGAAGAGCATTCTTCGTCTTCACCATGAGAAATACTGATATTTATTTCAGGAGGGATCCTAAAATGGAATTATCATATTTATAGGGGAAGTTCGTTGATTAGCAAGTGAGAAAATCAAGGTATGCAAGTAACAAATTGTGTCCATCTGTGTGTGTTTCTCTCTCAGGCAGCAAGGATGTAGATATATACGTAAATACTGAAATTTTTGAGCTAACAATAGTAAAACCTATAATCTTAATATTCTGACAAGATTTATGCTTTTCATGTTCTCCTATACTATGAGTGACTATTTTTAAAAGTTTCAGCAAGCCCAGTGGGCCAAGAAGAAAGAAAAGGTGTTATTACCTGGACTCGAGGCATTTTATTTTATTTTATTTATTTATTTATTTATTTATTTATTTATTTATTTATTTATTTATTTATTTGACTCGAGGCATTTTAAAGGAAGTGTACACAGACCTGAAGAGCCTGGAGCGATGGCCATGCCTATGGCATTGGGACCCGAAGATAAATACTCCCATGTGAAAGGTGATTTCTAGGGAAAGGAGATCCTTCCATCTACAAAGTTTCCTTTTAATGCTGAACACTAAACATGTTCAGTGTCTAAAAGTCTTAGCGATCATTAGTGTATCTGTGTGCTTAAGTTTGCTGATCTCCTTATAGGATACCATGTACTTTTAGGGGGTCGCTTAAGAGAACCAAACACTACCTTCTCCAACTAAATCACTGTTCATAACTTTCTAAAATTTATTTTTAAAAAGCACATATATCCCTTTGTATGAAGTTAGGACTATTAAACAAAATAAAGCTAAGAAAGCCATTTATGGCATTGAATGTTATTATAATTTCAGATCTCTTGTATACACAGGAATTATTTTGAATTTGTTCATTTTCACTTGTACTTAAAAATACTTATGCCTTTTTTTTAACTGAATTAAGCATGAGGGTTAGTCTTTATTTTGCATCACCTCCTAAACCATCATGAGTTAATTTTCACTCAGCAGAAAACTAAAATCAGAAGAGAGTTAGTCACTTTTCTGAGCTAAGTAAGGGGTGTAGCACGCATTCAGACCATCCAGAAAAGTTGCCTTGGCAGGCCATGTCTGCTCCTGCTATATATCTCAGCAAATTATTCTGACATTATTATGAAATTAAAAATACACTCATAATAAACCAGAGAAGTACACTATCTATTGGTCCTGTTGGAAACCATATACAACCCCAAATCTTTAAAAGCATATAGTTCACACTAAATGAGTCACACAATGATGTTCCCACCCACAGGCCTGATTTATTCCCTTTCTTCCTATTTCCTTGATGTGGTACTTGACGAATGTTTATCGGTAAGAGTTTCTTTCCTTCTTAAACGGTGGATGAGCAGCATGCTTTGAGCAGCACGATTGTGGATGTCCTGCATGTGGCACAGCTCTTAGGAAACAGATCAGAGAGCTGAAATAAATTCCAGAGAGTATGGGCAAGTATGGAATATGAAATGGAAGCTGGAAGACGAGCTAGAGAAATGCCTCTGTGACTTTCTGAAAACTGCCAGCATAACGAAAGTGCCGTGCTCACATGTGTTTGTAGCCAATTAACAGGGAAAACTTGTTTTTTTTTTTCCAGGTAGCAACAAGCAAAAAAATAATGCTTTTTTTAAATGGTTTAATGGGCCACAAAGACTGTGATAAGTTATTAGCACATTATTAGTCATAACAAGATCATGATCCCCAAGTGCTATCCTGGTGCACTTTTACAAACTGTGTTGTCTGATTTATAAGCCACAGATAATTCCAGAATCTCTTTTTAATAATTAGTGTCAAGCTTCACTGATGTCTCTCAACCTTTTCAAAAACACTAGCCATCAAAAATTTGCAACATTGAAAAGTTTCTATTTTCACACGATTAGGTCATCTAGTGATGTTTATAATTATTTTTAAAAATGAAGAAAAAGGAGCTCATCACATCGCTCTGATTTCATGATTTAGAGATGCTAGTCAAGACCATGCAGATTTTCAGAAATGCCTCTTATGCTAGAGAACAGTATATAGTAAGTCAACAATGTATATCACATAAGCCTCAATTTTATTATACCCTGATATTTCATCGTTGCATACTTATAGTATGCTATGGACTGAACTGTGCCTTCCTAAAATTCATTTGAAGCTCTAACCTCTAAGGTGACAGTATTTAAGAGATGGAATCTCTGGGAGTAATTAAGTTTAGATGAGGTTATGAGGGTGGACCCCCCAATAATGGGATTAGTGCCCTTACAAGAAGAGACATAAGAAAGCTTTCTTTCTCTCTCTCTCTCTCTCTTTCAGCCATGTGGGGACACAGTGAGAAGATGGCTGTCTGCAAGTCAAAAGGAGGATCCTCACTGGAAACCGACCCTTAATCTTGGGTTTCTAGCCTCCAGAATTGTAAGAAAGTAATTCCTGTTGTTGAAGCCACGCAGTCTAGGGTACTTTGTTCCAGCAGCCTGAGCTAAGACCTAATATTAGCCAAAGTCCCTAAAAATCTATTTACAAGTAACAGGACAGACCAATTTGTGGATTAAGATTCTAATTCTATGGGATCCCTGGGTGGCGCAGCGGTTTAGCGCCTGCCTTTGGCCCAGGGCACATCCTGGATACCCAGGATCGAATCCCACGTCGGGTCCCAGTGCATGGAGCTTGCTTCTCCCTCTGCCTGTGTCTCTGCCTCTCTCTCTCTCTCTCTCTGTGTGTGTGTGTAACTATCATAAATAAATAAAAATTTAAAAAAAAAGATTCTAATTCTACAGCAACTCTCAAAGAAGAAAATGTAGAAATCTACATTCAAAACTTAATATATATTGAGTTACCTTATTTAGTAATTTATTTAGATATACTGCAATGTCACAGTGCCAGAAGTCAGGACACCTGCATTGTACCTTTGTATTTTCTCCCAGTTGCGATGCAACCTGGGGAAAGCTTCTTCACAGTTACTGATCAGTTTACTTTCTTTTCAAAATGATTGGTCTGAAACATTCCTACGGCCCTTTCTGGTCTCAAAGTTCTACAACTCTTAGTGCACTTTATGTAACAGAAGGCAACTTCCACTCACCATTTTGTTCTCGCTGTACTCCTGCGGCCAGAAGATCAGGCTCACCAAGGCTGATGTCGTTCAGCCGGGTCCCCAGACACTCCATGCAGAGGTGCTTGCACCACTCCTCAGCCTCCAGCTCTGGAAACGAACACACACCATCCAAGTTAGGCAGTGCTGTGCAGATATGCCAGAGGAAGATCACTTCCTGAACCTTCTTTCAAGGTAGGTGGTAAGAGTTAAAAAAAAATCTTAACCTTAAGAGAACAACAACAACAAATAACAAACCTATATTCAAGAAATGAAAAAAATCCCCACAATTATTTCCCATGGGCTGACATTATAAAATTATATTTTAAAGTGATTTCAAGTTACACCAATGTACTTTATCTTATTTATAAATAATAGTCTGAGAATGTTGTTTCCCATCCAGTATATTTTGGATTGATTTAATTTTTAGAGGGCAAGTACTTAGAAAAATTATTATTTTATATATTAGTTATATTATAATATTTAGATATTAAAATATTAAATACTAATTATATCATATCATACTAAAATATAGGTTTTTAAATTTTAGATATTGTCTTTAGAAAATTTATTATTTTTAGAAAAATTAATTAAATAGAAAATAAAAATATATAAACAAATACTTGAAAAATGTCAGACTAAAATAAATGAGTGAAACCTTTCCTAATGTGACTTAGATTTGTGTGGGTTGAAAACCTGATCCTTCATTCTTACCTGCAACGTATCAAAGATTGGCACAAGAACGTGATAGCTTTTCTTCTGTAAACATCAAAAATGGTTCATCCTTACTTTGAAAAAAAATTCGGAGAGGATATTCAAAGTAACTTTCTCTTTTAGAAAACTCTAATTATCTAAGATTTTGGTTATCTTCCAACTTCTTTTATATTCGCAAGTTTATTCTTTGCTTGAAACTTCAGAACATCTTACACCTACACAGAATCTTGTAGTATCTAACACTTTCTGAAATGTAAGTGAATTTGATTCTTATGTTAGCCCATGTGGGTGAGGTGGATAAGCAGTGTCACCCTTGGGTCCCCTATCACTGGTCAGCACCAGGAAAGAACTGCAGCCCAGCTCTTGTAGATATTACAAATACGAAGAATCTGAAAAAGGGTTTGGGCCAGGCCCTAAAACTGTTGCACAGAAATTGGATGAGAACTTTCCACTGACACCTGCCCAGAGAAATTTCTGACTTTTCCATGTGGCATAAATCTGTACTAGAACAGTTTAATATAGATTTCCTTCAAATCTCTTGTTGCGCTCCGTGGATGACATTCCAACCTTTGCCTTGGCATTTTAAGCTCCCCATAAAAAAGTTATCTGTGACAGGTTTTCTTGACTCTAGGGATTTGAATACCAACTGCTCTGCTCAATGGTCAACACCATCAAACCTGGGTAATGGTTCTTCCTGTGCTTAGTCACATTGCCTTTGCTTCAAAAATAGGTTTGATCAATGAGATGTCAAGCCAAATTTGTCATTTATTTTTAGTTTTGTCAAGACCATAAAATACTGTTAGAAAATGAAGAAAAAGAGCATGTGGTCCTCCACAGGGTACTATTCTAATGAAAATAATAGTTCCCATGCTCTAGGCATGAAAGGTGTTTCTTTACATAAGGTACAGTTTGCACGTATCAGGGGCCATCCTCTCAGTAGTTCTAGATGCATCATCGACCTAGGTTAGGGAGGAAGTAGATTCTCATGTGAGCCTGGCCTTTTGCTCAGGTGGAATCAGAGCCTGGGTCTGGCTGCTGAGGCCTTTCTCGGAAATCTAGACAATAATCCTTTTCAATCACAAGGCCAATCATATACAAAAGAGGCATGGGCTGAGGCTCACAGCTTTCCATGAGGAATCCTTTCTAGTGAGGAAAGGCCAGCCTTCCTGAAAAGAATTTTACAGGAGCAGCAGCATGTATTGAAAATCATTTTCATCAGATAGAGGAGTTTTGATTTATAAGACTTATAAAAATTTTGAAAGCTTTTCTAACAACAAATCAAAATCTTTTAAAAAAGATTTTATTTATTTATTCACGAGAGACACAGAGACACAGGCAGAGGGAGAAGCAGGCTCAATGCAGGGAGCCCAATGCGGGACTTGATCCCAGATCCCGGGGTCACAACTTGAGTCAAAGGCAGACACTCAACAACTGAGCCACCCAGACGTCCCCAAATCAAAATCTTAAGCCAATTTCCATGCCACATCTTTAGAAATCCTTGACATTTCTGTTAAGGCAGACAATAGGACTATATTTTTCCTCTTTATATTTTCATATCTTGACTATTTTTCAGGACTCCACAATTCATCAGTAAAATCACATGCAATGAACGTCTCATCTGCATGTCTCTACCTGATAGTATTTCTGGTACTCCATAGATGGAGCTGAGAATACCTAGGATGCTCTTTGGGATAAAAATAAAAATGTTAAATATGACAAACACTTTTGTGCCAGCGTTCTCTCTAAATGTTAAATCAGTGCGTGCCCAGTGGTTAAAGCAATATGTCACTCATTTCTATTAATTCTTTTGTCCTGGGATTCAGTAAGACAAAGAAAACAACCCTACGGTAAAAGGGCTTCTATGAAGCTGGAGCTCATCCTCTGGGGCAAGACTCAATGGGGGCATTTCTGTAAGAACCAGGGAGGTCTCCCAGCAGAGATGACAGGGGTTCCTGAGCTTGCACAGGCAGCTAAAGATGTCTTTTGGATCAAATCCTAAGAATCGCAGTATTTCAGCATTTTAATAGTGCAGTAGTACAGAGGACTAGAAACAGAGGAAGCAATAAACATAGGATACATATAGTCACATTAAAGACAACTGTAAACAATTTCAGAAACAGAAAAATAGGGGGGAGGGAGGGAGAGACAGAAGAACGGAGGGACAGAGGGAGGGAGATGTTCTTCTAATTCAGGAATCAGCAAAAGTTCATTTCTTTCTAACAAAAATGTACTGCAGACTCACTGTGAGGTACTGTTGTGTGCTAGAAGGTTATATGAAAACCAGTTTCTGTTGTCTGTAGGTTAGTTTAGTGGGGCTGGGGGGGGGGTGAGTTTAGGATGTGGTACCCTGCAGGGCTGCTGGCTTGACCCATCGGAACTGGGAGGTGTGGCAAAGGCTGAGCAACGTGGAAGAAATGTGATCAGGGCCGGGAAAGAAGGGAGGGCATGTGTGCATGTGAGTGTGTGGGCCAGTGTGTGTGTGTGTGTGTGTGTGTGTGTGTGTGTGTATGCGTGCAGCAGTATATGTGTGAATGTGTGTTAGCTAGCGTGAGGGTATTTGTGAGTGTGTATCTGAATGTGTGTGTGCCCGTGAGTCTGCGACAGTGTGCACGAGTGTGTGCGTTTCAGTGTGTGCGTGCGTTTGTGACAGTGTGTGAGTGTGAATGTGTGTCAATGTATGAGTGAGGGTTTGTGCCTGCCCGTGAGAATGCATGAGGGTGTGTGTCAGTGTGTGTGTGTGTGGGGGGTCTGTGTGGGTGTGTGTGAATGTGTCTGTGTGGGGATGGTGGCCAGGGGCCAAGATGGAAAGGCGTCTCTGGGGATCTTGTGAGCAGCTAGGGACAGCCCTGAGTTCATGCAGGCAGCATCGTGCCCCTTCTCTTCAGGTTCTGCAGTTCAGGGGTGCCCCCAGGTCCACGGGCTCAGTTACCCAGACATGGCTGGGAGCAGATGATCGTCCTCTGTCTGCCCCAGGAGCCTACCACCACGTCACAATGTGCACATCACTCACCTCCCTTCCTCTCACCACGGGCATTTCATCTCCTCACATCCTCACAAGGCGCGGTGGGTACAGCCCAAGCTCGAGACAGACCACATCCACATAACTTTCATTATGGAACATTATCATTGTTCTAGTTTATTATTGGTTATTGCTGTTGATCTCTTATTGTGCTAATCTGTGAGTAAAACTTTATCAGGAGTGTGTGTGTGTAGGAGAAAATACAGTCTAACAAGGCTGGGTTCTACCCCTGGTTTCAGGCATCCACTGGTGTCTTGGAATGTCCCCTGCCACATGGAAAAGGGGGGCTGTTGTACCATTTAGTTCAATAAGATCAGCCCCAAGCCTTTATCTCAAGAGTATTAAGCTCTGTAGTCTGCATACCTGATCTAACAGTTTTGCTGTAGATAAGCTGAATTTACTTAAGTATTATACAATGCTTTGTTTTTTTTTTTAGACCTTTTTTTGATAGTCACCTTTCAAATAATTAGACCCATGCTTTTTATTTGTTCTTTCTTTGGAAAATTCTATGTATTGAGGTCCTTTAATTTTTTATGGCGTGTTAATTTATTTTGTTCCATCATTATTTAGTGTTTTCACTGAATTACCTTCCATCTTTTACTTTATTTTATTTTTGCAGAGCAGAGGAGATTAAAGACAAATGCAATCATCTAGCCCACTGCATTTTAAAATGTTTATTTTCCCACAGACTTGGTGCCTTTCGTCTTTCATTTTATCTTTCAAATTTCTACCTACATATATGCGTAAATAATTAAATTTCTTGAGGGGTGCCTGCATGGCTCAGTGGGTGTAACATCGGACTCTTGATTTTGGTTCAGGGCCTGATCTTGGGATCCTGAGATCTAGCTCCCTGTAGGTTTCTGCACTCAGTGAGGAGTCTGCTTGTCTCTCTCTCTCTCCCCCATCTGCATGCTCACTCTTTCTCTCTCTTTCAAGTAAATTAAAAAATAATAATTAAATTTCTTTAAGGAGGAATACAGGCATAAAAATGTTCTATGATGCTTCCTACATTTTCTCTTTGTGATGGATGTGCTTTTTCATTAAGATGTCTTTTTCGGGTAGCTTGCAGCTATGCTCAAATTTTTAATTCAGGTAAGTAGGTTTTTCCCTAGAAATGACACAGAAATAATGTTTCCATTATGTATGAAATTTGTTGAATGAAGAAATTTGGTAACTCCCAAAAGAAAAATATGGAAGATGTTTGGCGATAACCAGTCAAATGGAGAAAGGAGATTGAGCTAAATGAGTGAATTTTGAGACGAATGGGTTTATTGATTGTAGGGAAAAAGATCAGGGAAAGTGAAAAATAGAAATTCAGTGAAGGTGAATGGCTTCTCCCTGAGTGTCTTTCCCTCCCTCCTTTGCAGAATTCTGGGGA